CAAGTTGCTCATTCTTGGTTTGCCCTTGGAGGCAGACCCTCATGGAGGGCCATCCAACTGGGATTTCCTGGTTTAGATGCCCAGAGGGATATTCTTGCTGTTGCTGGGGGAACATTAAGAGGAGTGATAGTTCTCATGAAGCTTTTCCTTGAGTCTACTGGGAGGGAGCTGATAGCCATGCAGTGGATGGCTTTCACAGTGCTCAACCTTATTTGTCTCACAGTTAGCAGCAATTTCCTGTCGCACATTGGGGGGGGGGGGGGCAATGCTACCTAGCTTGTAGAGTCTATCAACAGGCATAGGCTGAATGTTATGAAATCATGAGAGTTCTAGTTTTACAAGCATTTTAGCCTTCTCTGCCAAAGAGTGCTAGTGCCTCATCAAACTATAACTGAACTAGGGCAGATAACCATTTTTGTCTCTGCTCCTACACACAGCTGCATTAACTCTCCCATGCTCGTTTCTTTGAACACTGTACTCCACAAAAGCTACCCTTAACATGAGGAGACTGGATTAGGATTGACTAGGACATAATTTTTATGGGACTAAAGAACAGGACTTCCTCTTCCCTTGTTGCCTTGAGATGTATACTTTTGTTGCTTAGGATGGGCCTTCAGTGCTTCCTTCTGTATAGAACTTCTGTGTCATACTGACTCATCTAATTCTAATCTACTCAATTGCTTTCTTTAAATTCTTCCCTTCCTCTAATTCCTTTCTTACCACACAAAATGGCATTTTGATGAGGGGAAAGTAGAAAAGAGCACACATTCCTTTTAAATTGATTTAATCACTTCTCCAGTGTGGCTAAGTAAAATTTCAGAAAGTCTTCTGTTCTCATTAGTTTGCATTTGACTTAGTGTCAACTGCCAACTTTGTTGGCCAAATGTGTTCTCAATAGAGGACAAATGTTCAGGTCATTTTGATGACTTTGCTGACATGCAGATCAGTAATTTTATAGCAATTTTGACTGTAAAATTGACAATCCAAACTCATCTTTTAAAAAAGTCATTTAGTCCGAGCCAAAGGAAACTCCTTGATTTTAAGATAAACCCTAAAACCAAGCAATTAAGTTTCCTCTTTCACACACAGATTTGTACATACCCTCCTTTTGTATATGTTTTTATGTGAAAGGAAGTAATTCATAGAATCATAGAGTTGGAAGACGCCACAAGGGTCATCCAGTTCAACCTCATCCTGCCATGCAGGAGCACGCAATCAAAGCACTCCGGACAGATGGGCATCCTCCTTCCACTGTGAAACAGCTTTCTACTGCCAAAACATTCTTCCTTATGTTTATCTTCCTTATGTTTAGGTGGCATATCCTCTCCTGTTACTCCATGTCCTGGTCTCTGGAGCAAAGGAAACCAAGCTTATTCCATCTTCAGTGTGAATATTTAAACATGCCTATCATGTCACTTCTTTACAGGCTAAACATACTAAGCTCCCAAATCCATTCCTCATAGAGTATGGTTTCCAGATCTTTTTCTATTTTGGTTGGCCTCCTCTGGACACATTCCAATATTCTCCTTGAATTTTGGCATCTGAACATAATATTCCAGATGAGAGCGAGGTCTGACCAAGGCAAAATAGAGTGGGACTATGACTTCTTTCAATCCAGATACTATAGACCTGTTTATGCAGCCTAGAATTGCATTAGCTTCTTTAGCTGCCACATCACACTGTTGACTCACGGTCACCTTAGAATAATAGAATCATAGAATAATAGAGTTGGACGAGGCCACATGGGTCATCCAGTCCAACCCCCTGCCATGCAGGAAAAGCTCAATAAAGTATCCCTGACAGATGGTCATCAAGCCTCTGATTAAAGGTTTCCAAGGAAGGAGCTTCCTTCCACCCGATTCCAAGGCAGAGAGTTTCACTGTTGACCTAGACACTAGACTACTTTTAATGCCATAGTTTGTTGTCTACTAGGATTCATAGATCCCTTTCACATGGACCATTTTCAAGCCAGGTGTCACGCATCCTATATCTGTGCTTTTCATTTTTATTTCCTAAGTGTAGTACTGCACATTTCTCCCTATTGTTAGACCAAGCTCTCTAATCTGTTATGGTCATTTTGGATTCTGATCCTGTCCTTTGGGGTATTAGCAAATGTAAATTTGATAATCATGTCTTGTATTCCATTGTACAAGTTATTGATGAAGATGTTGAATAGCACTGGGCTCAGGGCAGAACCGTGCGGCACTCCACTGGTCAGTTCCATCCAGGATGAAGAGGAGCCATTAGTGACTGCCCTCTAGATTTGAGCAGTCAAGCAATTGCAAATCCACCGAACAGTACTGTTGTCTAGCTCACATTTTACTAGCGTCGCATGACTTGTTTATGAGAAACCCATGTTGACTTTTAAATATTACAACTTTCCTTTTTATCTGCTTACAGACTGTCTGTTTAATGAGACCATTAAACAGAATCTTTCTAGAATCTTTCCTGGTATTGATATCAGGCTGATTGGATAGTAATTGTCTGCCCCCCCCCCCTTGAAGATTGTTCCCAATGGCTCTTAGACTTCTGCTATTTATTTTAATATCCTTGGATGTTGTTTATTTGAGCCTGGGGACTTTAAATCATTTTGAGTAGAGTAGACAGGTGTTTCTGTACAACCCCACTACCTATTCTGTACTATATTCTCCCTACTACAATATCTGTTCAATTTCTCCCAGGTTGAACACTATTTTCCTTTTCAGATGAAACCGAAGCAAAGAAGGCATTGAATATAGCAATCCTATCTTTTTAGAGAGACCTATTATAGTAGTGGTTCTCAACCTGTGGCTCCCCAGGTGTTTTGGCCAACAACTCCCAGAAATCCAGTTGTTAGGATTTCTGGGAGCTGCAGGCCAAAACATCTGGAGAACCTCAGGTTGAGAACCACCTTATTATAACATATTTACTTTGGAGTATTAAGAGTTCGAGTTCATCTTATTTCTTTCCCATATTCTTTGCATTAGTGTAGAGATATTTGCTCAGTTCTCTCTATAACAGTTGTGCTATTATCTCCAGCACCTGATGGCCTTCTACTCCCAAAAATACTGTCTCTCTTCCTCACAAAGCTCAGTTTAAAGTTTTCCTTATCAGGTTTGTGAGACTATAAGCAAAAATGCTTCTGCCTACATTAAGATGGACTTGCCATAATTCAATCTTCATGGAACCTCAGACCATGATCCAAGAAATCACATTGTTCCTGGTGCCACCATGTGCAGAGCCAGTTGTTCACTTCTGTTGGGTTTCTCTCCCTTCCTGGGCCCTTTTATTCAACTGGGAAGACAAAACAACACCTGTGTATCAAGATGTTTAAGTTTTCTACCCAGAGCCTTGTGATATCCTGAAACCTATGTCTTGCAGTGTTTTATGTCAACAGAAAGGAAGCAGTAACAGCTAGCAGGCTCAGTGAGCGTTGTCTGCCTCTCTATTATGCCACAGATTTTTACCCCAGAGAGCCAACATAACCTTCAAATCATCCTGTCAAGCTTGTAAACCCCCATTTCTGTTCCCCTCAGCAAAGAGTCCTCTAGTATCACTACACATCTCCTCTGCAGATCAGTAGGGACCATTCCATGTGCTGAAACTTCCATGTTCACTTCCATGTTCTCTGAGGACTGACACTGTTGAACTTGCTGCTGTTCATTGTCATCACTGATAAGGCAGAAAACTTGCAATTCAAACTCACATCTTTGTGTTGCATTCCTCCAAATGTGTATCTCCTATGTTTGGAAATTGAACTCTTCCTCAGAGATATCCTCTGTGTGTTCCAGGACAGTCTGCTTCATTGTGCACAAGAAAATCTGATGCTCCCTAATATTCTGAAGGGTGGATATGTGGCCCTCAAGTAGTTGGGCCTTAACTTCCAGAAGGGCTACCAACTTGCACTTACTGCAGGTATAGCTATCTACATCCTTAGGCAAGAACACAAATATACCACAGTTGGTCCCTCACCATCCATAATCAGTCTTAAGTAGGCACTGAAGCAGGACTCTAGGCTTCTCCCACAAAACTCTTTCACAAAAACACTGGATTGTTCAGGAATTGTTCTGTGTCTGGAATTATTCTTTGAGACTAGAAATAGTTTCTAGGTAGGGATAGTTCCTGGAAGGATAAACTGAGAGAAGGGGAAATGTTAGGTATGTAGAAAGTTGGCTGGCAGCAGAAGGAGGCAGCAGTCCTCTTTGCCACGAGGCATGGCGAATCTGCCACCCTATGCCTTGCATCCTCCGCCTTGCCAAAGCAATCACATGGGGGGAAGTATGGAGCCTGCATGGTGTACACAGATTCCTCCCAAAGATTGGGCAACATTAGAAGTTTCCTGTGTTGCCAGGGCGGTGGCGGCACACCAGTTCCACCCCTCTACACCCATGGAGCCGGCACAACTTTGTTTGATGGGAGCCAGCCGGTTCCATGGGTGACTGGGGCTAGATTGGCGTTTGCTGCTGAATCTAGCCCCGAGTGATGAGTTTTTTGGAAAGATATTTGAGTTAATATCTACCGCTTAGTGCTTGATTAAGTGGTTTTGTTTGTTTGTTTGTTTGTTTGTAAAATATCAATTTCTGGCAAAATCTAAATTTTTGTTAAAAAATTTTACTACAAAGGTGACTAGGTAAAATATCCTATTCAAACTCATCACTTTTTCCTATGATGCAATGAGTCTGTATCTTTCTTGCTGCATTTTAATTTTTTGGACTTCATTTCCAGAACGTTCAATGGTTACTGATGAAATGTAAGGATGCTAAACTGGTTTGTTTTGTTGTGAGATACACATTTCCCTTTAACTAGATGATCTGGTGATATATCTTTGCACAAAAGAAACCTATCTCCTGAATTCATTCTGTCATGCTTGTATTAATACTGCTTTCCAGGTCATCCAGTTACAGTAAGAATTCTCATGGGATGTAAGTCCTGCAGATAATAATGTCAGCCTAGTTATGGTACTATTGCTATAGTGTAGGAGATCATCTCTTTGCTAACTGGGAATTATTGTATTATTTCAGTGATGTCCTTGCACTGCCGATCTTTAAACAAGAAGAGCCTCAGCTTTCCCCTGAGAATGACACAAAGCTCCCTCCATTTCAATATGTGCTTTGTGCAGCTACATCGCCTGCTGTGAAACTTCATGAAGAAACCCTGACCTATCTCAACCAAGGTAGGACTAATACAGAATTGAATAGGAAATTATTATTTTTCTAGGTTAACTGCAACATACCTCAGGCCAGTGATTCCCAAATGTTGGTCCTCCATTTGTTGTGGGTTTCAGCTCCCTGAAGCCTCAGTCAGCTTGTCTAATGATCAGGAATCCTGGGAGTTGAAGTCCAAAACATCTAGAGGACCAAAGATTGGGAACCATCACCTTAGGCCAAGTTTTGCCCGGTAGTTCTCAAAACCAAGTCCACAATGCATAGTTAGGAAACCTTAGTAATTTAACTCCATCTGTTTTGAGTTTACTAAAGAAAGGAGTTACAGTAGCTAATATTAATATCTTAAAAAATTAAAATATTTCTACATTGCTTCTGATCTTTACATTGTGAAGTCAGTTAATATTTCTGAGCAAAGTCAAGAGTTAACATCTAGCAAAAGAGCATATGATTCTAAGGAGAAATATTACATTACTGTAACTTGAAATGTGTGATTTCAGTTTCTGATAGTTCCTCAATCATCTGTTCTAATATGAGTGAAGAATGGAATAGAAAAATATTTTTGACATCCAACGATTTCCATTTTATGGTTTAGTTTTCCAAATCTAGGAAAAAAAAATGTATTCACTGCATATAATCCTGAATATAACACCTCAGTCAGTACCTACCACAGGATAGTGTATGTGTTGTTAGAAGGGAAATGATGGGGAAAATTACAGTGTGAGTTGCCCGTAAAGATCATCTTAATTTGTGCTTGACTCTTTTTACATTCTCTTAGGAGTGAAAATTCTTATGACTATTCAGTGTTAAGAAGTTATAAATGGAACAATGGATGCAAACTTATCTTTGTTTCTTAGTAATTTAGTGCATTTCTAAGAAGCAATACCTTAATTCTAATGGTTATAATTAAATGGCTTTTTAAACCTGTTATTGATTATTATCTTTCAAGCACCTTTGCAGGCTTTGGATATTGCAAAATGCAAAAGGAACAGGAAACTCAAGTAAATCATACTTCCTGTTCATGTTCTCTTGTAACTTCTTGAGTAGAAGCTTCTCATCTCTTTTTAAATAATATGTTATGATATATATTTAAAACAAGAACAGTTTTGCTAATGTGGTAGGAGTTGTAGCCATTTATGTGGCTCCTGCATTTCCTATCTTACTTCTTCTTTCCTCTACACACTCCATTGCATACTAAGGCTTGTTTTCTAGGAATACTGCTTTAACTAAAGTAGAATTTTGAAAAGATAATCTATGTGATGATAGCAGGAGTGCCATAAAAGCCATGCTGGTATACCTATCCAACTCCCAGAAGGCTTGTTGGATTTCACTGGAATTACTGTGGATTATTCTTAGCACCAGCATACAGGAGGAGAAGGAATTATTGTACTAGGATTGCAAATAAACAATTTCTCCATAGTCATCCTCATAGTATTGTGGGGATGTGGCATAAAATTAAAACTGCATTAATGCTATCACAGTTACTCTATGTTGGCATTTGGACAGGGAAAAGGTACTGGGACATGAACCTGAGGAATAAACTTCTTTTTAGAGACTCCTGGGGAAATCTCTAGCAATGTGGCTAGGAAAGTAGTTACCAGTTTCTGCAGGTTTGTATTTACTAAATAGTTAAAACAGTATTCCTAGAAGAAAATCCTAAATTTGCATTTGGTGTCCCACAACAGCCCAGAGAAAGGTCTGCTTGAGAATATCATTCAGCATTTTTGCCCTCCCAACTGCTGGATTTTGCCTTACACTGTTTCCATCATATCACCCTCCTTTTCCCTTCTGCTGCAGCAAACAAATGATAAGTGTTTGCTTCTAGTTTTATGTTAACCATAGTTTAATGTGATTAATATAGGAGCCCTGGTGGCGCAATGTGTTAAACCCTTGTGCTGGCAGGATTGCTGACCAAAAGCTTGGAAGTTCGAATCTGGGGAGTGGGGTGAGCTCCCGTCTGTCAGCTTCAGCTTCTCATGAGAGAAGCCTCCCGCAAGGATAGTAAAACATCAAACATCTGGGCATCCCCTGGGCAACATCCTAGCAGATGGCCAACTCTCACACCAGAAGCAACTTGCAATTTTTCAAGTCGCTCCTGACACACACTCATACACAAACGTAATTAATATTACATTGTGGTTAATGATAACTGTGTTGCTTCAAAACTGCAGCTTCAATTACTCAAGGTTTCAAGTTCAGTTGTTTCAAACAGGCCACAGTTAACATTAGCCACAATAATCACTTTAGACAGAGCCAGATGGTGTAGTAGTTGGAGACCAGAGCTTGAATGCCTGTTTGGCCATGGAAACCCACTGAGTGACCTTGGGCAAGTCACAATTTCTCTGCTTTGGAGGAAGGCAAACTCAAATGCCTTCTGAGAAAAACTTGCCAAGAAAACCCCATGCTAAGGTTGCCATAAGATAGAAATTACTTGAAGGCATACAACAAGAACAAGATCATTTTGGATAAGTATGATAAGTTGTGGTCCAGCAGAAACAAGAAGTAAATGTTTTCCATGTCCTTGGGGCATGTCGGAGGAGATGGGGCAAGGGAGATCATATGTTCCAAAGCAGACCAGAGTACTAGCAGAAGGCTTTGTTTTAGTTTAATGATTAATTTTGAAGCATCCATGACTCAGATTATTGAATATCAATCAAATTCCTCTGAAAAGAAAATCTATTTTCTCCTTTAAAACACCAAAAATATTTGTCTTATATTTGTTGTGAAAAAATGGATTCTCTGTTTCTAACTCAGACATTATGGACTTTCAACTTTTTAAATCTTTGACAAGTAACAAAGAAAAAAAACAATTTTAAGAGATAAATTTCAAAATAATTTCAGAACTAGCCTTGAAAAAAATTGCAGATATAATGTGTCTAGCTCTTTAACTAATGGGAAATGGGATTCCTGATATAAGTTACATGAGCATCAGTAGCCAAGGTAATAATTGGCTTGTTTCCCATGATTAAGCCCCCTGTGGACATCCCCATCTCAGACATGGAATATACGCAATTTCACAACATGATCTTAATGACTTCTTCAGCGGTAATTAGAGTTACATTTTGAACTATGCAGCTGAGTTCATCTATGGCTTAAGCAATGAGCAAACCAAAAACACCACAAGTGCTGACACATGTCCATGCAGAAACCAACTTAATGACATAAGTCAGCACTGTAGTAGTTCCCACTGCCACCTGGAATTAGCAGCATTAGGTATATTGTCACGAAGGCGAATCAGCAGTACACCAGAATAACTTATGTGAAAAACAACTGACTGAGTTAACCAAAGACCTGTCTAGTCCTGCATTCAATTGCTGCACTCATTAGTACCTTGTACTCAGGGCAGAGAAGCAATTACAAGACTAAGTTCTTGTGGGTTTTTTTCGGGCTATATGGCCATGTTCTAGAGGCATTTCTCCTGACGTTTCGCCTGCATCTATGGCAAGCATCCTCAGAGGTGAGGTCACCTCTGAGGATGCTTGCCATAGATGCAGGCAAAACGTCAGGAGAAATGCCTCTAGAACATGGCCATATAGCCCGAAAAAACCCACAAGAACTTAGTGATTCCAGCCATGAAAGCCTTCGACAATACAATTACAAGACTGTCTTCCTTCTTTCTCTTCACCCCAATTCAGTTTAGTTTTATCATAAAGTCTTATGCTCCATGGATTGGCCTGATCTTTGAGACATTCAGGCAAAGGGCACAATAACCAGACCTCGGAGAAAGTTCTCTTTTGGATTTGATCTCCCATAATCCCCAGTGATCTGGAAATTTTAGTCAAAACATCAATCTCCCAAACCACAGATCAATGCTTATAAAACAAGAAACCATCTCTGAGTGGAGAAAGGTAAGAGCTTAATCTGTCCCAGGAGAACAAAAAAAAATACATGTTGGCTCCTTTTGCTCTCTCTGCTATAGTGCTGTTTCTGACATTTCTGAATGTCTGGGTGGGAAAATGGCAGTGGCAGCACTGGCTTTCTGCAACATGACCTGTTACTAATCCACAAGTCTTATCAAAATCCATAATTCTGTCTCCAGAACCTGTCCTCAATATATACTTACAGACAAGTATTTATGGTAGTTACTTTTCCTAAGCTCTAGGGTGGGTGATTAAAGGATCAGTAAAACAATGTTAACAGTAAAAAAGAAGGCCACCATGACAAATGGAAGGCTAGGCTGGGCACCTTGCTTTGGCGTTAAAGGGTTAGCAGTGGTTTTGAATGTCAGAGTAGACCAAACTCTTTGACTCATCCAAAGAAAAGACTATTCTACCTCCCTAGTTTGGCTCCTATAGAATTAGTTCAACCAGTTCATAGTTTTCTCTTTCCTCCTCATTCCTTTCTTTTTAGTATCATGTATGTTAGAATGTGGAAAGGGGCTTATCTTGCCGTTTAATATCTGTACTGTGGTTAGGAAGTAAAAGGAGATTTAAAAGTGTCTATAAATGGTCAAGATCCTACATGGGAGATAGAATATAAAGTTTCATTAGGGGCGACTTAGTAACATCTCAATTCCCACAAAACAAACCTAGTTTGTATGTGGAAGTGGGATAACACAGCCATTTGGCAGCCAGTAGTAGAGGATGTGGTAAAGGCCATGTAGAAGCATCCATGTATGCGACAAAGGTATGGCTCTTCATAGCCTCCTTTACCTACAGAAATCAGGTCAGATTCAGCAAATGTCACCATCAGGATATCATATATTAATGTCATGATAATCCTGTTTAAAATATTTTATCAGCGTGTTGGTACAGTGAAGTCTGTTTTAATCACAGAGTCATCTTTAAAATAGATTGACTAGGGGGAAAAAAACATTACACTAGAGAAGAAATGCATTATATATCTCAGACATAAGTGCCCCTTAAAGCTATAGGACTTAGTATGCAATAAAAAGACTCTTTGTAGAACTCTCAAACACTCATTTCTTTGTAACAGCTTAGTTCATAAATCTTAATGCAGCCGCTTCCTAAAAGAAACAAGCAGCCTGTTTAGAAACTATTTCAAAAATTGT